CTATCTAAAGATCTTGTAGCTATTTAAAGTTGCTATAGCTATTTAATTATTTGCATAGCAATTTAATCATTTACTTGCCTATCTAATCTTATCATAGCTATCTAAAGATCTTGTAGCTATTTAAAGTTGCTATAGCTATCTAATGATTTACATAGCTATTTAATCATTCATTTGGCTATTTAATCCTATCATAGCTTTCTAAAGATTTTGTAGCTATTTAATGATTTGCATAGCAATTTAATTATTCATTTGCCTATTTTATCTTATCATTGCTATCTAAATATCTTGCAACTATTTAAAGTTGCGATAGAAAAGAAAAAAAACCTAAATCATAGTCTGAGATTTCTAACAATAAAAAATACTGACAATTATATGTTTATTCTTATAAGCATCAAAAAGAATACTACGTTATCATCACTAGTAGATATTTTGCTCAAATATTCATCCTACCTTGCTGATTCTTCAGAACAGGGTTTGTTTGGTTGATATGATTATGAATTCGTTTTTTCCTTATTTCATCTTTTTATCATATAATATCTTTTACTTTAATAAAAAAAAGCAAAATAAACCATGAGTAGAGATTTGTTTGGTTGAGTGAGAATGAATTCGTTTTTTCTATGTAATCTTTCTATCATTTAATATCTTTTACTTTGAAAAAAAAATAAACTACGATCAGGGGTTTGCGTTTGGTTGATATCAGGATGGATTGTTTTTTTTTATTTCATCTTTTTATCATCTAATATCTTTTACTTCAAAAAAAATAAAATAAAATAAATCACGAGCAGAGGATTGTTTGGTTGATGGGAAGATGAATTCGTTTTTTTTATTTTATCTTTTTATCATCTAATATCTTTTATTTCGAAAAAAACAAAATAAACCACGAGCAGGGAGGTTGCTTGGTTGATGTGAGGATGAATTCAAAAAAACCAGAACGCAAAACAATGAGCCACGCAGCTATTTAATTAATTCAGTGTCACTGCTATTTTGTTTAAATTGCTAGCTAACTATGAGAAACACAGTATCAAAGCTTTTAAATAGCCAAAGTTTCCTTTAAATAGCAACATTTCATTAAAAAGTATCTCTTTTGAGAATTTTAAATAGCCAAAGCTTTCTTTAAATAGCGAAATATTTAATTAAAAAGTATCTCTTTTGAGAAGCTACGCCCAGCCACACCCACACACCCACACCCACACCTCACACACCCACATCCACACCCACCCACACCCACCCACATCCACCCACATCCACCCACATCCACCCACATCCACATGATATGATTTGTTAAAATTAAAAGAACTCAAGTAACACCATTAAACGTCTTCACGCGTGAAAAAGGATGAAATATTTAACGATGGTTAACACGGTAAGCTTCGTTAAAAATAAAAAATTCAAATGATATCGTTAACTATTATCACATGCGTAATCAATGGCAACTTTTTAACGATAGATAACACGATAAAGTTCGTTAAAAAAATAACGCAAGAAAGATCGTTAAAAATTTCGCGCATGAAAATAAATGAAATATTTAACGACATGTAACGAGTTAGTGACCGTGAAAAGCGCAATCACGCGTGAAAAAGAGTGAAAAATCTAACGCGTCTTCACGATTTTCCGAAATTTAACGAAAATTCTTGAAGTTTTCTTCGTTAAACTTCGTTAATCTGTCTTTTAACGCAACTTTTGGCGTTAATTTCAAGACTCGCTTCGTTAAATGCCTATTTTTGTTTTACATGGGTTGCAGCTAATAAATAAAAACGAGTACGAAAAAGTCAATAGATAGGAATCCAGGATTGACTACAGTGAGTCAACCTCTGATGCAATAAATAAACAAAAACAAAACTGAAATAGAAATCTTTTCAAAAGAAAATTAATCATATTCAAAAACTGTTCACTCTCGAACACCTAATTAGAATTCTGGTTTAATGCATGTCTACCTTTAAGAAATCTTTTTAACATTTTTATATTTTAAGAAAATCAACCTCAAATGATTGTCTTAGCTATTAAATATTATTAATGTTTTTCTATATAGGTATTACAGTAATTTCTTGATGAATTTTTGTTCATTTTTAAAAATTTTCAGTCAGTTTATTCCATAAACTGTAAACTAATAGACATAAATCAGTTGAATTTGATGACTAACTCAAGTTGACATTCGATTGGTCGATAAAATTGACAATTTTGACTCACCATTGATCCTCTCTGTCTATCGTAAAGTAACATTTTCAGGGATTCATCTAGCACTTCAGTACCTATTAGAAGGTATTTCTCAATAAGTTCGAGCAATCGATATTCTGACTTCTGGAAATTTTTTTTAGATTTCAAAACATTTTTGCGTCCGGTATTCCAATTTTTTCAAGCCCTCGATACCTATCGGATATATTTTAATATTAAAAGAAAATAATAAAAATGTGTCGGCTTGAGAATGATTCTTCGAAATGAATTCAAGAATATCATCAGCACACCATTCCTGAATCACATGATATGTGTGAGATATTACACCGTCTTGCTAATATGTCGAATTATTGTTTCATCTTCTAAAATCATCAACACTACCAGTCTTTGTCCACATACACCTAATCACACCATCATCTTTACTGAGAATTTTGTTTTTTTCATAAACTATATCTTTCTTATCAATCTCTACACTGTTCACAATTCACATGACTGGAACAACGTAACAACAAAAGTAACATTAATAGACGAAAAAACTGTTCCGTCAAAAAAATTTACATTGTATACTTGATTTTATTGTATGATTATATTTTGTTCACTCGTTATTTTATTCTATTACAAATAAGAAAAGAATAAAAGTGTAAATATATTACTACGAAGAAAATAGAAGGTTCTTTTTTTTTCTTTCTATCTCATCGAATAATAAATAATGTATAATAACAAAAGATTTTTTTAAAAATGTACATTTCATTAGCATTTGATATACTTCTTTCAATAGTATCCAACAAGTGACACGAAAAACTGATCTTCAATAAATAAAAGAAAAAGAAAATTTTATTATTATCCTTTAAATTAGATAAATGAATCTTTATGAATTTGTTAACAATCTCTGAAATGCTCCTTTTTTATTTTTTCTATAAGCAATATCATCGAACATAATTATTTATATAATTATAAAAGAAACCCTTAATAAACATATTGAATAACAATAAAATAAATTAATACAGCACTCAACTAGGTATTCATTCATTCTTTTTATTCTTCAATAAAAATTCAAAATCATACGATCATTTCTCTACCAAATCAGTAGGAAGATATTGTTGTCTTAAATAACATCAAGAAAAAAAATATTTCAAATACAATGATAGATAAAAATGATCAACGACTACTTTCATCTGCTCACTCTGCAGTAACACCAAGACAATATAGACAATCAAGTCTTCCTAGAGTTTCTCGTCAACAATCAATTGAGAAACGTATCCATCGAAAAAAAACAAATAGTGCAAAATCAATGATTATCATTCATACAAAAATTCGATCACAGAATAACTCTCTTACTGGAAATGAAAATAACAATGTCAATAATATTGATAAATTTCCTTCAGTTAGTTTTATAATCTCTAGATTTTATTCATTTTCTTTCTTTCTTTCTTTCCAAATAGATTAATGATCTTGTGAATTCAAAATCAAGTTTTAATCAAAGTTTAAATGAATGGTCAAATAATAAAACACAATCTGCTCATATTAAATCACAACATTCATCATTATCTAAAGTGAGAAATATAAATATCATTTTTTTGAAAAATATTTTATTTTATTATCAATCAGTCACATATTGATCAGAGACAAATAAAAAGTTCAACACAATTTAACATTGATCACAATAGAAAATCAAAAAAACGAAC